AATTTAGGTCAGATATTAGGAAGATTTTTCTTACTATAAAGTGATTAAGCTTTGAAACAGATTAGCAACAGAAGGTGTGAAATCTCCATCCTTAGAAGTTTTTCAGAACAGGTTAGAGACAAATATTTGGTTGGAATAGCTTAGACAGGGATGATAGTGCTTTGAATGCAGGCTTGGGCTAGATGACCTCCTGAGGTCCCTTCCAGCCATGCTGACATCACCTGATGGAATGAGTAAAAGCTGAGTGAAGGCTTAAGATTTTTTCAACTTAAAACAAGTGTTGGACAAGAAAGATTTTTGCAAGATCCATCGTCCATTAAAGAAGTCCATTTTAGGTTGGGTTTTTTTGTGATAAAAAATATCAACAGTATCTTATGCCAAAGTAAAACGGTGAGAGAATTGGTTTGCTTTGACAAATTCTTTTATCCCTCAATCAGAATACACACCAAACCAGCCTTAGTCAAAGAGCAAATTAAACAAATGGAATGTGGCCTTATGATTTCTGGTGAAACACTCATATGACTTATCTTCCTCTTTCAGTGTTGAATTATGATCACTGAGTCTCCCTCTGCCAAGGCCCCAAGCAGACTAACTGAACTTGTTCACTGAAGTGTATCAATGCAATATCATCTGCGAACAGTTTAATGAAGAAATATTACAAAAATTGTAAAACTGATTAGGTGTCTACTTTACTTATGTATCTCAGAAACTGGTATAAAGCCGCGCATTCAGAAATCTAAAGTAATACTTGTACTAAGTAGCTGGATTATATAAAATATATGCTTTATGGCTTGAATGAGCCAGAAGCACCACCTGGTATAATTATGGTCAATTAACATTAAGCAATAAAACAATTTGATAAGATAAAACAATATCAAGAATCTACTTCTCCAGAAAAACATTTTAACAACAAAGGGCCAATATCCACTCTCCATACAGTCATGAAACTGCAATTCATTAACTGCACTAAGGAAAAAATTAGCCCCCAAACATATTTTAATCTAAATACATACATTTCCAAGACAAACTGTGCCTTTATTTTAACATTGCTCTTCCCTTCTGAAGGGTAAATATTGATATTTGAAATACCTATATTATATTTACAGCTGTACAACACTAGCGTTATATACCTGTAAAATATCACTGGTACTTTATAAACAAAGGGTAACTTATAAAAAAATTATATAAAAAGCAGATTTCCTCAGACATTTTCTTTATCAAATTCACAAACAAAATACATTGTAATATGACAGGCAACATCGTTCCATCCACCGGAAGCCACCATTTCCACACAGTCCTCCTCATCATAAGCGTTATTGGGCTCACCGCTGCGCCACTTGTTGAAGGTCTGCATGGGTGATCGATCAGCATACACAAAATTTCCCTCTTTTTCAAGGTCATTAATCCCAATGAATACTCTGGTGAGCCCTGCTTGAGTGATGTATGAAGCAATCAGACCATTGGTAGTCTCATCCTTGGGCATGCTTAGTGTTCCTCCTCTTCCATGGCAGTACAGCTGGGCTTCCATGTACCTTTTCTCTTCTTTCACCAGTAGGTATATCTTATTATCCGTCTCTCGCACACCAGCAACAGCTGCGGGGGAGGGCAGTGCTGAAAAGTGAGCACTCGCATTTCTATAAACCAACTTAATGTACACCACAAAAAGTAGCTATACAAATGAAACATAAAATGGCAAATATTCTTTAAGAGCAGTTTTGCTATTAAAAATATGCAAGGCAATGAGAAAGAAAAAAAACTACAAATGCAAACCTACCATTTTTTATGAATTTTAATTCAGTTGTCAACTGGGCCACTTGGATATCCATCTCACCAATAGCCTTCCTTAGCTGACTGCATTCACAGGGGATGCCTGCAGAGATCAAGGGATGCGGAGCATTACACGAACTATACAAACATAAATAAGAATATTTTTATGAAATGTTTTAAGGTAAACTTATTGTTCATATAAGCAGCCAGCCTGATAACCCAGAAGAGTGAAATCTTCTATCTAAATAACAAGCAACAGCCATTAAACTTCCCCATGTTGTTCTATCAATCTCCCTCACTCTGACCTGAGGTAGTGACCTGATAGGCTCAGTTCACTCGTTCACTCTTCATACAACTTCAGTGACCTCTCTTGGTAGCAACCATGATACAGACCCTTGTCCAAAGGAAACAAAAATATGATTTCTTTAACCTGAATCTTAGTACCCAAAGGCACACATTTAAGGATAAAATTATTCTCTATGAATTGACCTATGCTGTGAGATCCTTGTTCAAAGCAGGAGTCTATATAGATTACTGTGTACTTCTCCCTCCCATGGGCGACTGGTGCCTCCTGAGTCTGGGGGGGCACCAGATCGCCGATGGGGGGGCGGGGGTCCCCCAGCAGCTGATCACCAAGCCCAGGACCACCAAAGGGGAAACCAACAAAACTGGAAGTGCACTTCCGCCAGGACTTCCGGTTTCACGGCTGATGCATAGCTGAGCTCAGGGGGTGCACACTGCCAATGCTCCCTCCTGAGGTATCTATACAGGCAACCCATGCTTAACGCATGGGTTGCTTAAGCTGACTTAGTGCTATTTTGCTATAGTACTCATTTTAAATTGATACCTGATTCCACTTATCGCTCAGGAGGTTTTGTTATAACACTTGTGGTCGCCATCTTGGGTCATCAAAAAAGTTTGATTTCACTTAACGTTAGTTTTGCTTAATGCTCGGTTTTTCAAGAATCGATAAAGAGCGGTAAGTGGGGGTTGCCTGTATAGCTAATCAGAGAGGCAAATGCTGCTCTCCCTATGTAAGGCATGTAATTAGCCATAACACAGTTCTGTCCTTTTCAAAAATATTGGATTTATTGTAGTTCTTCCAACAGAAGACTTTAGATCACAGAAAACTGTCTATTATGCCAAACTGACATTAGTCTAACAAATGCAGTTTTAATGAGATTGTAGTTATGAACCCAAGTTTCAAAAATAGTTTCAAGTCCTACTTCGCTATTCTGCATATAGCTACTGAAATATACATTTAATTACCCAGCTACCCAGCATCGGTACCCAAATGCCGAACTAACCATTGATACACAAATTAGAAAATTGCACTCTGTATGGTAGGTACTTGGCATTCTGGCTCAAGAATCAGAATGATAAATAACAGCACTGTGGGAAAACTCATCAATGCACTCCACATTTAAAGGAATATTTTCAAAGACACAAAGAACCTAGACACACAACACATTTACACTAATATAATTTACATTGATTTTGTATGTGGAAGTAAATTATACCAGGAGCTGCAGAGACATGAGATTAGCATACCTATAACATTAGTTGGAAGGAGAGCAAATAGTAATCTTTTTTACTACAAAAAATACTCCAGGATAGCTACAGATATACAACACTTATCCCTAAAATTCGCCTTAGCCCCCACTATAGTCACCCCTCCCAGCACCACCCCATCCAAGCTGCCTGCCTCCCTCCTGGGCTACCCTATGCCCCAGACAGCTGAGACAGTCCTGCTCCCACACGCAGTCCACTGTAGCCCTCAGACCCCCACTGGGAAGAGGCTGGTGCTACCCCTGTCCCCATGGTATGTTACACCTTGTTTTTTCCTAGTATGAGCCTATATCAGATTCAATTAAGTTATCCCAGGGCATGTCTACACATGCAGTTAAGTCACAGCAATGAGCTCCAGTGCATATCACACTGGAGATCATTGCTCCCAGGTGTGCAGTTTGAACATGCTCCTGGGACTGCAGCAGGTTGAGCAGGGTTGGAGCAGCCTCAGGCTGGCAGGGGACCTGGGGGGTCAGCCTGCCAGCCTGGGGCTGCTCCAACCTGGCTCAATGTGCTACAGAGGGGTTGGCTGAGGCACACAGGTACTCCAGTGTAGGGCTAGCAAGCAGGCAACCCCTACATTGAAGCACCCTTGTGCCCCAGCCAGTCAAGTCAGCATCTACACATTCATTGCTGTGCACTAAAAAGCTCTGCCCTCGGACAGTACTTGTATTTACAAGTACTAACCTGCAGTGGAGTTTATTAATTTACTGCAGCTTAATAGGGCTGCACATGAAGCCACATTTACTGTGGAGTTAATTAGGCAGCTCCACACACAATAACATCTAATGTAGATGCACCCCCAGTGTTGAAATTTATGCTGTCTGCTCATTCCTCGTACTTCAGTGTAACGGTATGGTGAGTCTAAACCCAAAGAATAATTAGATGACCAACTCCCATCTCCTCCGCTGCTTTCTCCTTGCTCCCACAGCATTGCAATTTACTGCTGATCCTTACAGACACCAATTCTGTCACCCTTATGTGTCTTGAGTAGTACCTTACTGACTTTTTTGTGGGAGCTCCTTCTTCTATGAGTGGCCCCAGAAGTTAAGAAACAAATTCTGGGGTCACTCCAGAAGGATTATTAATTCTGCATTCCACAGTCTGCTTTATTTTCTGTTTGGGTCAAACAACATTACAAGATGCAATCTTCACATGCTAGCTGGCCAGAGGAGCTCACTAAGATTCTGGTCAAGCTCTGGTGACAGTACAGGAAAGGAAATGATTTTGAAAGAAGCATCTGAAATCTGCAAGCTATGAAAACATCTTAATAAAGCAGGTGAAAATGGGAATCAAACAGATGGTTTTCTAAGGTAGGAAGGCACATTAAAAATGTGAAGCATGCCTACTACTAAGCAAAGGTTAGCAACTGCAAAAGCGGCAACTTCCTGTTCAAATACCCCTTCTTTAGTCATGTCCTTTGCAGCAGAGGTGTAACAAGCAGTTCTTGTATCACAGGGAAGCAGCAGCAGCTGCCAATCTCATGTACCCTCTAAGCCAGCACCCAAAGCTGGTGCCTCACTCCAAGTTATGCTGTTGCTACACAATAAACTTACCTATACCCTGAAGTGTGACCCCTGAGCCAGAATAAATGTAATCACAGCCATACAGTACTTCAGGCAGGCTGCTGAGTGACAGTGCCAATTAGTCTGCCCCATGCTAATTAGCCCGCTTGTGATGCCACAGAAATTCCATTCTACGCAAAGCATAGGATTGAGGATACAAGGTAAATTAAATTTGTAGAAACAGCCTAAGAAAAGTGCTTCAATACCCAGGCACAGAACCCATAGTCCTGCATAAAGGGGTAGTCAGATTTTTGGACTGAAGTCAGAGGGTATGGGGACAACTCCAAAGGAGATTCTGCTAGTAGAAGGGGTGAAGTCAGGGCTAAAAAGAGGAGGAAATAAATCCCACAGTGATGCTAAAACAGACTACATGGTCAGATGGCCTATAAGATATCACAGGACCAGGGCTGAGAAACAGCTCCTGGCACCTTTGTTGGTATCACAGGGGAAACTGCAGTATAAAGTATGAAGGATTTCCATTTTATGGCAAAAAAAATTTTTGTTATGGAGGCTAGTATGTGCATTGGAATGGCTTAGCTTTATTGGAGGGGAGAAGCCATAGCCATGTCCTCTCTTCTTGCTTCTCCACGTGTAATTGAAGATAGATTTTCTCAATCAGAGAAAAAAATGAAATTGCAATAAGTTGCATTTAATATGGAACAGAATCAAAGTGGAGATTACAGGGTAACCTATAACCAGCATGTGCGAATGTTTGGGGAGTCTGGCTAAATTACAAACCTGTTTGTTACATTTTAATAGTTCTGTTTTTATTAATTAACACAAATAAAATTTTCACATTTACGTTTCTGCAATCCAAGATAAGACCTTATTTTAAAAGCTATGTGAACAATGTAAACCAACAAGGCAGTAGACCCCTGTGTGCAGACAGTCAAATCAGTGACACCACAGAGACGCAAGATTTTTCTGGCTGGTCTGAAGCTGAAGTGAGATGTCCAAAGACACCTATTTACACAAAGGTCTTTGATGGGAAGAGAACTGCATTCTCATTCCCATTAGATTACTAGAGTAGTCAAACCCATGTTGGGTTAATGAGGAGCTCCAGAATATTGTCCTAGCTAGTAATGGAGAGAAAATTCCCACCCATTACTGAGGTTTCAATTATTATTTTTTTGTTTTAAGGTAGGCAGTGTAATTCAGGAAATTACAGTAAATAAATCAGAAATTACACAGAAGTTTATATTGTCACAGCTCACTAGGTAGTCTTACAAGGAGAACATATATTACATGACATATATGTTAATACGTTAAAAATTCTTTATACTTTTCAGATTACCTGGGTCTCCATTAGGACCAGGTGGCCCTATGTCACCATTATCACCTTTTGCACCTAAAAAAGGGGGGAAAAGAATAAATTTACCTGCTCAGTAAACAGATTGTATCACCAAATTAATTAAAATAAAGATATAAATCAACACTTTTTAGGTTAATGACTAATATATAAAGTAACATTAAAAATATAAATGAGCTATGGACCAGAAACAAAGAGAATTTGGTTTTGTGGTGGAAAAATGTCACAACCATTCTCACTCTGTCCTGTGCCTTGTTTTTTATTTCAGCTCTTGCCTAAGTACTTCACAGAACCAAAGATGTCAATAGGACCTGGGGGAAAGCAGCACTTTTGAAAATTCAGACTGCTTTATTTAGGTAGTTAGTTTGCAGAAGAGTGTGTGTGTGGGGAGGGAGGGAGTTTCATAACAGTCTTCAAATACCTGAAGGCTGGTTATGAAGAGAATGAAAACACAATACTTTCTGTGGCCTCAGGAGAAAGGACAAGGAATAAGTCTTAAATTGCGGCAAAGGAAATTTAGGTTGAATATTAGGAAGAACTTCCTCACTATAAGGATAAATAAGCACTCTAATACATTACCCAGAAGAGCTGTGAAATCTCCATCCTTGGAAGGTTTTAAAATCAAGTTAGACAAATACTTGTCCGGAGTGGTCTAGAATTATAGAATCACAGAAAATTAGGGTTGGAAGGGACCTCATGAGATCATCTAGTCCAACCCCCAGCTCAAAGCAGGACCATCCCCAATTAGATAATCCCAGTCAAAGCTTTGTCTAGACAGGTCTTGAAAACCTCCAAGGATAGAGATTCCACCAACTCTCTGGGTAACCTGTTCCAGTGTTTTACTACCCTCCTAGTGAGAAAATTCTTCCTAATATCTAACCTAAACTTCCCTTGCTGCAACTTGAGATCATTGCTCCTTGTTCTGTCATCTGCCACCACTGAGAACAGACTGGTTTCATCCTCTTTTGAACCACCATTCAGATAGTTGAAGGCTGCTATTAAAGCCCCCCTCAGTCTTCTCTTCTCTAGACTAAATAAGCCCAGTTCCCTCAGCCTCTCCTCATAAGTCATGTGCCCCAGCCCCCTCATCATTTTTGTTGCCCTCTACTGGACTCTCTCCAATTTGCCCACATCCTTTCTGTAGTGGGAGGCCCAAAACCAAACACAGTACTCAGATGTGGCCTCACCAGTGCAGAATAGAAGGAAATAATCACTTCCCTTGACCTACTGGCAACACACCTACCAATTAGCCCAGGACACCATTAGCCTTCTTGGCAACAAGGGCGCGCTACTTATTGTACACTGTAACCCCCAGGTTCTTTTCTGCAGAGCTGCTGCCCAGCCAGTCAGTCCCCAGCCTGTACTGGTGCATGCGATTATTCTGTCCTAAGTGCAGGACTTTACACTTGTGCTTGTTGAACCTCATGAGATTCCTTTTGGCCCAATCCTCCAATTTGTCTAGGTCACTCTGAATCCTAGCCCTACCCTCCAATGTATCCACTACTCCCCCCAGCTTGGTGTCATCAGCAAACTTGCTGAGGGTACACTCTATGTCATCGTCCAGGTCATTCATGAAGATATTGAACAAAACCAGCCCCAGGATCAACCCCTAGGACACTCCACTTGATACCAACTACTAACTACACATCAAGCCATTGATTACTATTCTCTGAGCCCAATGCTCCAGCCAGTTTTCTGTCCACCTTACAGTCCATTCATCTGACCCATACTTCCTTAGCTTGCCTGCAAGAATGTTGTGGGAGACTGTATCAAGGTACACCACATCCACAGGTCTCCCAACATCCACAGAGACAGTCATCTCATCATAGAAGACAATCAGGTTGGTCAGACATGACTTGTCCCTGGTGAATCCATGCTAGCTGTTCCTAATCACTTCCTTTGCCTCCAAGTGCTTAGAAATGGGTTCCTTGAGTATCTGCCCCATGATTTTTCCAGGGAATGAGGTGAGGCTGATGGGCCTGTAGTTCCTGGATTCTCCTTTTTCCATTTTTTAAATATGGGCACTATATTTGCCCTTTTTCCAATCATCTGGGACCTCTCCTGATTGCCATGAGTTTTCAAAGATGATAGCCTGTGGCTCTGCAATCACATCACCCAACTCCCTCAGCACCCTTGAGTGCATTCCATCCTGCCCCATGGACTTGGACGCATCCAGCTTTTCTAAACAGTCCCTAACCTGTTCTTTCACCAGTGAAGGCTGCTCATCCTCAGTTTAGTCATGGATGATCCTACTTTGAGAAGAGAGTTGGACTGGTTGACCTCTTGAGGTCCTTTTCAGCCATCTTTTTCTGATTCTCTAATTTACAAACCTATATTTGAATTTAGGTGCCTTAAATTAGGTGCCTAACTAAACTTGAAAATTCTGGCCAACATGATTTGACCAAATCTGTGGGATTTGGAAGTCTGTAGGATTTCAGGTACCATGATTCCCACAGTTTAAGCAAAAAACAATCTTTCCCCTCCTTATTGCTCCCTTCTAAATATCTATACTCAGAAATTTAAAAAGTCTTTTAATTTAGCCACAGGTAAGGAGAACTCATTACTGATATGTGTCAGATTATAAAGTAACAAGTTCAGATATCTGCTTCATTTGACTGAGTGTAGTGTGTGATATAATTATAGGACTTACTATCTATTGTGATAAACCCTGAAATCTTCAGATTAATTTTACCCAAGCACTGGACTCTTCTCAAAAAAAGCCACAATGGAAGGAGAAAGGATTATATCAAACATACCTTTTGAACCAATGGGACCAATTTTTCCATGTCGGCCCATGCTGCCCTTCTGTCCTTTGTCCCCGATCTCTCCTAAACATAACATAGAGATCAAAGACACAAGTTAAAACCCTTCTCTGTTTTATTCAGATCCCAAGATGCACTTCACTGGGAATTTCTATAGCAAGCGGAATTAAATATTATGGCACATTTTCTTCAATTCCTTAGCAGATAAAATTATTAATCCCAAGATTAATCCAACACCAGGAAACCAGCCTATTCCTTATCCATTGCCTGCTATGAAAAAAACACAGAAGTATCTTTAATCTTTACAGAAACTTTTACTCTGGTGGAATGCGCTGGTGTAAATAAAAACAGAATTTGACCAAGAGCCATGAAAAAAGCTTCTAAAGCTAAAGAAGCTTCTAAAGGACTCTTATTTGGCAAAAGTAATGTTAAAGAGGAAGGAAAAACCCCAAACGGAGGTCAACTCCATTACAGATTTTAAGAGGCTCCAAATGCAGTAGACCAGTTCATCTAATGAAGTAGCATAAGTGTAACTGAGGGCAGAGTTTGGGCTTTGGGTCCTGTTTACAGCCATGTGCTTATTTGTTCTTTCCTCTTGTACGCTAAATATTTGAAATTTGCATTAATGAGCAGCACTAAAAGCCTTACATTTGCCCTCTAGATACACGCATACCCGCATGTGCGCAGTTGGTGACTCAGAGCCAGAATGAAAATGTTATTAATTTTAATGAAGATACCATACAGTGCTTTAAAGCAGAGCTGTAGTAAATGAGCCACTAGAAAATGATCTTCCTCAGCAATTTTTAATGAACAAAAGAATAAACATACACCTTACAAAGGTAATATAATTTATCAACCAGGCTGCAATAATTTCCAATTTTCTCCTTTCCGTATTTGCCCAGGCCTCCCATTATGTATAAGAACTCTAAAAGAGAAAAAAAATACTTTTTCTTTGTCTTTGAGCCCTTCTTTTTCTGGTTGTACTCTTGTGTATGATGTAAACAGAATATTAAAACAGCATATGGGGAAGAAAGTTGCATCAGAAAAGGTATTCTCTAGACCAGTGGTTCTCAAACTTTTTTTTTTGCGGACCACTTGAAAATTGCTGAGGGTCGTGGCAGACCACTTAATAAACTTTTTTTGTTCTACAAACCAAAGCACACAACTAATATTTTAATATCAGTAGTCTTACCTTACAAAGTACAGAAATTCTCAATTGTTCCACAACCATTCTGCAGACACCGAATGGAGCTCCCGGACCAGTGGTGGTCCAAGGACCACAGTTTGAGTACCTCTGCTCTAGACTTTACCAGCACAACTCATAAACACTAAGCTGAAGAATGGAAATCACAGTTATCAGAAAAAAAGAAATTGCTGTAGCATAAATGTTAGTCCAATTTATCTGAGATCCACTTCAGAAGGTCTCTGTTATATCATTTATCACTAGGGTAGATTTAATCTATTATTGATGTTCTTATTGAGCATGTCCACGAAACAGCCAAATTCCACCCTAAATATCCAAGAGCTGAATTTGGCCTATTTTGTGTGACTATGACCTATTTTGGCTAATAGGTCTCAAATGTGAGTCTTCACACTCCTTGACCAGCACAATGCAGAGTTACTCTACTGGCACAGACTGTGTCAATAGAATTCAAATTCATTGCTGGTGAAGAATGAGAAATTATAATGCTGTGTTCCAATGAGTGCTGAAGATGATTTGGTTCCATCTATACTAGTAGTCAAAACATTTTCAAAACTAGCCATTGTTGAGCGCTGATCATTTTATTAGGTCAGCAAGGCAGTCCTGAGTATCCATAGTAATAGGCATAGTACTACACAAGAACTATACTTCTTCCTCTTCCTCCTACTGCTACTAAGCCCTCAATTCCAGGGACTGCAGAAGCCAGCAGGCTAGCTGTCCTCTAGTTTTCAAGCCTCTTTGTACTCTTTGTATACCCTGCATAGAAGGGACCAGGTGGGGAAGAAAAGTGGAGGCGTTGCTGTCTATGTGAAAGAGCAGTACACTTCCTTGGAGGCTGACATTGGCTCCAAAAATTAACAGCTTGAAACCCTCTGGGTCAAGTTCCAGAGGAGGCGGTGAGAGACCTAACTGTAGGTGTATACTACAGACACCAAACCAGGGGGAGGAACTCGATCTGGAGATCAGCTGAGAATTGACTGAGGCCACATGTGCACGTGACATGGTCATCCTGGGCAAGTTTAATTATCCAGACATCTCCTGGGAGGAACACTCAGCCAAGTTGGATTAGTCATAATACTTCCTAACCTGTGTTGAGGAGCTCTTCCTGACTCAGGAGGTGCATGGGCCAACCAGAGGTGATGCTCTGCTAGACTTGGTCCTGGCCAAAGGAGATGACCTTGTGACCGACTTAAATATAGAGGGAAGTCTGGGCAACAGTGACCATGAAACCATAAGGTTCACTGTGTGTTGTAAGGCAGACAAATCAAATAGCAGGAATTGAAGTCTTGGACTTCAAAAATGCAAATTTCAACAAGCTTAGGTCACTAGTAGGGTAAGTGCTGTGGAACCAGGGACTGAAGGCAAAAGGTGTGCATGAAAAGTGGTTGTTCCTTAAGGACACGATCCTTGAAGCACAAAGGAGGTCCATTCCTATGTGGAGAAAAGGTAACAGCAGTGCATCGTTTACTAAATGCCTGAGTTCACTGAAGTCAGCCTTCCTAAAGTCTAGCACTTCCACCCTACTAGTTAACTTTCCCACTCTACACCTTATAATGAATTCTGTTATATGGTGGTCACTGTCCCACAGGTGACCACTGATCTGTAGGTCCCCTACCATGTCATCCCTGTTAGCTGTTGGCTAAACAGGGAAATCATGGTCCTCTTAAGAAAGAAGAAAGAGGCTTATGAACAATGGAAGCTCAAGTCAGGTCCCAAGGAGGACTATTCCACGATGGCCCGCATTTGCAGGGAACAGATAAAACAGGCTAAAGCAGCAACTGAACTTAGATTAGTAATGGGAATCAAGGACAACAAAAAAGTCTTTCTTTAGGTACATAGGGAACAGGAGGAAAATAAATGGGAGCGTGGGGCCATTGTTGAACAACTCAGGGGAGCTGGTTACCAGTAGCCAGGAGAAAGCCAAACTCCTGAATGACTGCTTCTCCTCGGTCTTTCACCAGACCAAGGGAAAAACCATGCCAGGTAGAGTAGAGGATGAGCGCAGTAGGAATAATCACCTTCCTACTATTGCTGTAGAATTGGTGTATGACCAATTAAAGAAATGAGGTGTATACAAATCAGTAGGACCGGATGATCTGATGCAGTAGGTACAGGGTCTCACTAGGGGGAATGCCTTACTGGACCTGATATTGGCAACGGGGGATGACATGGTAGGGGACCTACAGATCAGTGGTCACCTGTGGGACAGTGACCACCATATAACAGAATTCATCATAAGGTGTAGAGTGGGAAACGTGTAGAGTGGGAAACTTAACTAGTAGGGTGGAAGTGCTAGACTTTAGGAAGGCTGACTTCAGTGAACTCAGGCATTTAGTAAACGATGCACTGCAGAGTAAGAGATTTGGTGAGATGGGAGCCCAGGAAGGGTGGCTGTGCCTTAAGGAAGTGATCCTTCAGGCACAGAGGGAGACGATCCTGATGTGGGGGAAAAGGGGGAAAAGGGCCAAGAGGCTTCCTTGGTTGACCAGAGAAATCCAGAGCAGCCTAAGGGCAAAAAGGGGGGCATATAAGCAGTGGAAACGGGGAGAGAATACTAAAGAGGAGTATACCTCCTCAGCTCGCAGTTGTAGGGAGGCAGTTAGAAAGGCCAAAGCTACCATGGAGCTGAGGATGGCATCCCAAGTTAAGGATAACAAAAAATTGTTTTTCAGATATATAGGGAGTAAAAGGAAGGCCCAGAGAGGTATATGACCACTACTGAATGGGCAAAAGCAATTGGTGAATGACAGGGGAGGACAAGGCTGAACTCCTCAATGAGTTCTTTGCCTCAGTGTTCCTAAACAAGGGTCAAGACAAATCTCACAATGGGATTGTAGAGAGGCAACAGCAGGGTGCCAGATTACCAACCGTTGACCCTGAATGGTGCAGAGTCACTTGGAAGGACTGGATGCGTTTAAGTCGGCAGGCCCAGATAAGCTCCATCCGAGGGTACTGAAGGCACTGGCTGATGTCATTGCACAGCCACTGGCAAGAGTATTTGAGCACTGGTGGCACACGAGCCAGGTCCCAGAGGACTGGAAAAGGGCCAGTGTGGTCCCTATTTTAAGAAGGGGAGGAAGGAGGATCCAGGCAACTATAGGCCAGTCAGTCTTACCTCCATCCTTGGCAAAGTCTTTGAAAAGGTTACTAAGGCTCATATATGTGAGAGCCCAGCAGACTGCAGTTGGAATACTGCATGTAGTTTTGGGCCCACTTCAAGAGGGATGTGGATAACCTGGAGAGGGTCCAGAGAAGGGCCACTCATATGGTTAAGGGCTTGCAGGCCAAGCCCTATGAGGAGAGATTAGGGCACCTGGACCTCTTCAGCCTCCGCAAGAGAAGGTTGAGAGGTGACCTTGTGGCTGCCTATAAATTCATCATGGGAATGCAGAAGGGAATTGGTGAGGCTCTACTCAACATGGCGCCCCTGGGGGTCACAAGAAATAATGGCCACAAGCTAGCAGAGAGCAGATTTAGATTGGACATTAGGAAGAACTTCTTCACAGTTAGAGTGGCCAAAATCTGGAATAGGCTCTGAAGGGAGGTAATGCTCTCCCCTACCCGCTAGGGTCTTCAAGAGGAGGTTAGATGGGCATCTGGCTGGGGTCATCTGAACCCAGCACTCTCTCCTGCCTATGCAGGGGGTCGGACTCAATGATCTATTGAGGTCCCTTCCGGCCCTAACATCTATAAATCTATGAATCTTTATCTGGGAGTGCTGAAGGAACTGGTCTAAGTCATTGTGGAACCCCTGGCGAAACTCTTCCACAACTCCTGGCACTCTGGAAGAAGACCAATGTTGTGCCCATCCACAAGAAGGGCAGGAGGGAGGTAACTATAGGCCAATCAGCCTAACTTCCATCCT